GTGTCAGCCGGAGGCGTCGTGGTGTCGGCAGGGGGAGTGGTAGTGTCGGCAGGAGGGGTGGTGGTGTCCGCCGGAGGCGTCGTGGTGTCCGCAGGAGGAGTGGTGGTGTCAGCCGGAGGGGTGGTGCTACCGCCATCAGCCGGGGGCGTCGTGGTGTCAGCCGGGGGCGTGGTGGTGTCAGCCGGAGGCGTCGTGGTGTCCGCAGGAGGCGTGGTGCTACCGCCATCAGCCGGGGGCGTCGTGGTGTCAGCCGGAGGCGTGGTGGTGTCGGCGGGGGCGTGGTGGTGTCCACAGGAGGCGTGGTGCTGCCGCCATCAGCCGGGGCGTCGTGGTGTCCGCAGGAGGCGTGGTGCTGCCGCCATCAGCCGGAGGCGTGGTGGTGTCAGCCGGGGGCGTCGTGGTATCGGCAGGAGGCGTGGTGCTGCCGCCATCAGCCGGAGGCGTGGTGGTGTCAGCCGGGGGCGTCGTGGTATCGGCAGGAGGCGTGGTGCTGCCGCCATCAGCCGGAGGCGTGGTGTCGGTCGGGGGCGCAGGCGAGCCGCCGTCAGCCGGAGGCGTCGTCGAACCACCGTCAGCGGGAGGGGTGGTCGAGCCGCCGTCGGCAGGCGGCGTCGTCGAGCCACCGTCAGCCGGAGGAGTCGTCGAGCCGCCGTCAGCCGGAGGAGTCGTCGAGCCACCGTCGGCAGGAGGCGTCGTCGAGCCGCCGTCGGCCGGAGGGGGGGTCGATCCACCATCAGCCGGAGGAGTCGTCGAGCCACCGTCGGCAGGAGGCGTCGTCGAGCCGCCGTCGGCCGGAGGGGGGGTCGATCCACCATCAGTGGGCGGGTTAGGGGCAGCAGCGGTGACAGTCTTGGTCTCCGTGGCCGTGGCAGCCGTCTTGGTGACGGTAGCTGGGGCGTTGGTAACGGTGACCTTGGGGCCGTCGACAGTCACAGTCTGGGTAGCCGTCGAGGTGGCCTGGACGGTGCGGTCCTCGGTGATGGTAACCGAGTTGGTTGCCGTGGCGGAGACGGTCTCGGTGACGTTGACAGCGTCGCCGGTGACGGTCGCGGTGACGAAGGCCGTCCTGGTCTTGGTGCGAGTCCAAGGCGCAGTCTTGACCTTGGTCGAGGTGACGGTCTGGGTGATGGGGTGACCGTGGTAGCGCGTGATGGTCTTGGTCGTTGTCTTGGGCTTGTAATGGTCGACGCCGTAGACGATCTGGAGGCAGGCCTCCTGGGCGACATCGCGGTAGGCGCGCAGCCAGCGGGGGACGCTGGCGGCGCGACGGTCGAGCGGCTCGGGGGTAGGCTCGACGACGTTGCCCTGGCCGTCGACGGTGACGGTGACGGTGGCGGTGGGCGTGACAGTCTCGGTGACGTCGTCGCCGGCCACCGTGACGGTCTCGGCGGCGGAGGTCTCGGTGGCGGTGGCGGCCTCGGTGACGGTGGCCGTCACGTCGTGGTCCTCGGTCTGCGTGGCGAAGACGGTGGCCACGGTGGTCTCGAAGGTGCTCTTGTTGGTGGGGATGTCGGTGACGGTGGCGTTCCTGGTCTTGGTCTTGTAGTGGACGGGGGTCTTGGTCGAGGTGACCTTCTTGACCTTGGTGACAGTGGGGTGCACCGTCTTGTACTTGAGCTTGGTCACGGTCTTCTGGTGCGGGTGGGCACCGTTGAGGTAGGCCGAGCACCAGGCCTTGGACGAGCCGGGGCGGGCGATGATGATGCGCTTGGCGGCGTTGATGCGAGCCTGCTGCTTGCTGGTCGTGGCGGCCTCGGCGACATCAACGGGGGCCGAGAAGGCCAGGAAGAGGCCGATGAGGAGGAGCTTGGGGCTGACCTGCATGGCGGCGAGAATTGGGTCAAAAGAGTGTAGAGTCGGGTCTGGGGTTGAGTTCGATTGGGAGCCGGAGAGGATCCAAAGAGGGCCGAGTGGGGCAGGTCAGGGAAAGGGGAGGGGAGTGAGCGAGGAAGCGGGGAGGGGAGAGGGGTTGGAATGGGATCTTGATGGGGATGGAATGGGATCTGAACGGTGAGGGGCGCCAAGTCTGACTTCTTATAGGCCGGCGAGCGCGACGATGGTGTCCTGGGCGAGTTAGTTAGGCGTCTGCCGTGTAGCCAGGGCTTCCATGATGCGGACGGGTGGTGCTGCGACTGGCCACTGTGTGTTCATCGGTAAGCTCGAGGACGGCTCCGGAACACTGTCTCGAGCGGCCCTCGACGTGGCTCGAGGTGGATCAACAAGCACATCACGGGCCGAGGACGGTCTGGCCTTGTGTGAACGCCGAACGGCGGACGGACGAGGGACGACATGCAAGCGGCGAGCGGCCCCTCCCGACGGAAGGGAGACACGAGGCTGTCGTCGGTCATCAAGGCTCTCGGCATCGCGGAGGGGGCGAGAGTAGCCCTTGGCGTCGTGCTGGGACGACGGCACGGCGACCTAAAGATAGACACGCCTGTGAGACCGGCGCAATGATCGACAGAGCGAGCAAGAGCGCGTGTGAGTCCGACGGTCAGCTGCTGTTCGGCTTGTCAGCAGCCTCCCCGCCCTCGGACGCATGCAACAGCCGGTGAAGGGTTTGCGTCCCGACCGAGGCATCTGCGATCCGGGCAGCGGCAGCGTGAGAGTGGGCCCAAGTGGATTGAGCTCAGTGTGTCCTGGCGCGTGAGTTGGTAAAGTAGAGACGGCCAGGCCCAAGGGAGAGGGAGACAGCAGCAATCTGCAGGGATTGGATCTGACAGGCTCGAGGCAGGGCACCATTGGCGAGGCCGAGGCGCAGCTCGCCATGAAGCGATGCGAGCACGGGAGGCGGAGAAGGCGGGGAAAGGACTGCCATTGTGGGGAGGCCACGGAGCGTGGGTCGGGTCTAGTGGTGTGCGCGATGATCTGCAGAAGCCACGTTGCCCCGTGGCCGCCGCCATGCGCCTGAATTGCGGATGCGGTGGATACGATGGCTGGGAGGAGGGGAGGGGCTGGGCACTGGACGCCCAAACAGGAAAGGGCCACCGAGAATCGCGGGTGGGCCGGTGACGGAGTGAGGGAGCAGGTCGGGCAGAGGAGAGGCAGTGAAGCTTTCGATCCGGACGGCGATGGAGCGGTGTTGCTGCAGCTGCTGTTCCCGGGCCGTGTTGGTGGTGGCGCTGGGTCGGTGGTGGTGGTGGTTGTTGTGATGGCGGCGGTGGCCGTTGGTGCGCTGCGCCTGGCAGGAGAGCTTTGCTGCCCGCCCGCAGGAGCATGGCCGAGGGACAGCTCGACTTTGCCTGGCACTGCTTGACAGGAGGCTGGAGGCGGACGGCGGCTTGGCCTGGCCTCGGCCCCTCCGCCTGTGCGCACGGCTGAGTTGCAACTTCGCCGAACGCGGCCAAAAAGGCGGAAGGCGGGAAAAGGTGGCCTTGGCCTGGCAGCAGCAAGCACCAAGCAGCCCACCGCCAGCTAAGCTTCTTCGCAAGCGGAGCCAGCAGCAGCGCGGCCTCGCCTCACCTGCCTCCCGGTCCACCACCCACGGCCACCAGCCCCATCTGGCCTCTTGCCTCGCCTGCTCCTCGGCTTTTCCTCCGCTCCGCCACCGCCATCTACCGACGCCGACCCTCCTCGGCTGCGATATCGGGTCAGCCCAACCGCACCCGCAAGCTGAATCGGCGTCGATCATCGCCCGCGACTACCTGGCTCGTCACAGCGACAAGATGCTCGGCAGACATCTCTTCGTCATCAACGGCCTCGCCCCTCGGCGGCTCGGACAGCCGGCGGCCGGGCGGTCGTTCCATCTGGCAGCCAGCGTCGTCGTAGTGCCTCGGCCACAGCTGCAATCGCAGTCTAGCAAGGCATCCGTCGGGTCCTCGCTGCCATGGTCCAATTCCTCGCTGCCATTCCCACATCCGAATCGTCGCCGCCGGACTCAGCTGCTTCGGACACCAGCATTGGGGTTCAGCAGCAGCGCAAGGCTATGCGCCGTCAGGGAGTACGACGAAGAGGAAATGAGAAACCGTCGGAGCTGGCTCGCCAAGTTCCAAGACGTCAAGCTGAGAAGGGAAGACTACGACACCAGCTTTGCTCGGAGCAGCGGTCCGGGCGGTCAGAATGTAAACAAGCGTGAGTGCGCAACCGGCCTCTGAGCTTGGCGAACCGTCCGCCGTTCAAGCCCGCACTGTCCTGACGATCGACACCGGACACCTCGACTTGAAACCCCTCCGCCACGCGGTCACAGTAAACACAAAGGCAGAGGTGCGCCTCGACCTCAGCCAGGCAGCGGCCAAGCCGCCCCCGCCGGGCACTCCAGACGCCAGTCCGCGCAGCTGGCTCACCCGCGATCTCGCATCCAGGCTCGCCAAGCAGTCGGTGAGTTGCCTCCGGATGCGCATGGACGTCCGCGTGCGCGTGCGCGCGCGCTTGCGCCCCTGTCCCGTGCCATATCGCCCAGACTCCACCGGTCTCCTTACCCGCTGACAAGCCTTCGCCTGGCCCACTGCTTGTTTACCTTCGCCCGCCGTTGCCGCCAACAGTCTTACTACGTGGCGTCGTCGCACTCGCTGCTGGTCACGAGCATGCGCCATCGGACACAGGAGGCCAACCTGCAGGACGCCCTCGACAAGGTAAGGCAAAGGCACGCTCAGCCGCACGGGGGAGATGTTGATCCACTCCTCTCCGCCCACCCTTCCTCGTGGCACAATGTCTCGTCCGAATATACGCTTACCGTGACTCGACGCCTCGCCCCTCACTTCCGTCTCAGCTTCACGCACACGTGCTCGAGGTCGCATCCGAAGGCATCGTCGGCGAGACGAGCGAGGAGCAGCGCCGCAGGGTGAGGGCGCTCGAGGCTGCAGAGCAGCGCAGGAAGAAGGCCAACAAGATCAAGAGGAGCGACGTCAAAAGCGGCCGCAAATTCAAGGGATAAACAACCGGGCGACCTGACCAGCGTTTGCCGCGTATCCGTCGCGCTGCCGCGCCAGTCCAGCCAAGGCAGGCCACGCGGATCTGGCCACGCCCTCGCTGCCTGTCAAGGGACCGACGGAATGGCTCGACGCGCCGATCCCAGCGTTCGACGTTCCGACGCGGCTGTCTTCGGGCGGACCACGGAAAGGATCAGCCGAGGTCCCACACCTTCAGGGTATCATCCGTCGCGTACCAGGAGCCCTTGTGCTCAGCGTCGGACCCTGGTCCTTCCTCGCCGGACCCGTCGCTGCTGCTGCTACCACTGCTGCCGCTGCTGCGCGATCGGCGTGCATTAGAGGAGCGCGAACCGCCACGTTGCCCATCAGCTGGCGGCCAATTCCGTGAGCCGCACGCGGACAGCAACAGGGGCCGGTGGGGATGGAACGAGACGGATCCCACGGCATCTGCATGGGTACCCAACCCAGACATCGCGATTCGATCGTGTCAGCGACATGGAGGCGAATCGAGGGACCAGCCGGCCAGGCGCAATCTGCGTCGACTCACCTTGATGCGCCTTCCACTTCAACACAGGCTCGATGCGGACCGCAGCGGCGTCGAGGTCCTCCTCTGTCCCGTCAACAAATCTCCCACGGTCTATTCGCCATATCGAGATGCAGCCTTTGGCGTCGCCGGCCGCCAGCATCCGGCCCGCCCAGTCAATGTCGAACCAGAACCTCTGCTGGCTGCTGGCAGTGGGCCTCGGCAGCGTGGCCAGCAGCGCTGCGTGCCTGTCCTCGCCGACTGCATTGTCCGCCTTGGCTCGGTGCGTGCCGGCGTCGAGAGGAGGGAAACTGAGGCGGTTCGGATCTCCGACGAGGCAGCGCGTGTCGTAGACCCTGATCGACTCTGACCTGCGGGAAGAGACAAAGAGGATGTGCGGCGAGAGCGGGTGGAAGGCGAGCTGGTGGATGCCGTCGCCGTCACGCTCCTGCCAGCCTGCCAGGCATGCGGATGCAGCCGTCAGGTGGCGCAAGCTGTTCCGCAGCGGGGCGTTGAAGGGCTGCGGGGGCGGCAGCCGGGCCGGATCGATAACATAGAGGCCGACCGTACCGGCAAACGTCCCACAGGCCAGCAGATCGCGCCGACTGGCCTGCGGGTAGCCTTCGTTGGCTTCGTCGTGCTGGTACGGTACGACGGCGAGTGCGGAGACGTGGCCACGCTGGCCTTCGCCTGCAGCCGTCGAGGCGGACCGGCTTTGGACCAGGGGGAAGCGCGAGTGTGTGTTGAGGCCAGGCGAAGCCAGCGAAATCACCGAGATCTGCGACCAGTCTCCGCAGTAGAGGCTGCAAGGGTGGCGAGGATGCAGCATGGATGCGGGTCAGTCGTACCAAAGCCCTCGCACGGTAACCTCTGCCTGGACAACGTACCGGCCGTGGTCCGGGCTGAAGGCGAGGCTGTGCGGGCCCACGAATCTCTCGACCTGGTTCATCATGCCGTAAGAGGCTCTTATCTAGAGAGGCGTGCAGGGAGAGGCGGTGTGAGCCGGGACCCCTGGTTCCTCGTCTCGCCTCTGCCGTGGAGAGGTGTGCCTCGTCACTCACGGAGCCATCGGTGCCATCGACGAGCCTCGTGGGCATGTCGCGGCAGCTGTGCGCAAAGCACCACGAGATCCGGTAGTCCTGACCGTGTTGGTCCATGCCCTCTCGACCCTCTCCCGACGTCTTGTCCTCTTCGACACCGCTCGCGGCATCGACCGGCGCGTAGGCAGGCAACGGATACCATATCGCGTCCAGGACGGGCGTAGGAGAGCGAACCACGGTCTCCCTGTTCAAATGTAGGCGTGCGGGCCTTCCGTCGGACCATGCCGCCTCTGCGGTGGTATGGTGCTCCGGCGAGGGTACAGCGTCCTCCAGCCTGAACACGCTCAGCCGATGCGACTCGCTCTGGGCCAGTAGCACGGTGCCATCTGGAGACCACGTCGCCCTCCGGTAGAAGTCGCGGGACTCCTGCGGCCCGCCCCGTCGTTGGTCTTCGGACCGCATGCTCTCGCGGCTAGGATCGTCGAGCTTGATCCTCTTTCTCTTTGAGGCCGTATGCGATGTTGTTGAGCAGCGCTGCCAGGCGGCGAGGACAGGTATGCCATCCTGGTGACCCTCGAGGCGCACGGCAGGAGGTTGTGGGTGATGATAGTCGTAGTCGTGGCCCGATGCGAGCACCTCCCCGCCGGCAGTATCATCGTTGTCCTCGGGACGAGCCTGAGCATCGGGCGGAGCGCCTATCGCGTCCATGCCGGGGTAGAGAGAGACCTGCTGCGATCACCGCTGCGCCGTCTGGCAGTCGGTCAGGAGGAGAGAGGGCGGTAGGAGCTCGTGGATGGTGTCGTCGAGGGCCGGTGCGGCTGCTTGCGAGCTCCATTTCGTCGGATTTGTGTGGCCCTTTTCCCCGCTCCACCTCTCAGCTGGCCTTCGCTCGGATGCCGGAACCAGGAAGATGGAGGGGGACTTGCCTGCACCCTGCGCTGACTGACCGAGGGAACACCTTCCTTCAGATCCAGGCCGACGCCGCTCTCGGTCCTGCCGTCATCACCACACACCCATCCGAACCCTCGCATCTCTCTCGCCCCTCACCGGCACACAGTTTCCCTTGCGGCCATCGTGAGCCGCCTCGGGACGATCCGAGGAGGGCCTCACCTACAAAACCGCGCCTGAGCCTGGATCCGTCGGGACCGGGCCGATGCGATGCACAGGCGGCCAAAGCAACCCTTGCTGGCCGCAGTCAATTGTGCCACCGCTCGCTGGCTGCGGCCACGCCACCCGTTTGCATCCCTTGCCGCGCTCCACTCGACGATAGCAGGCGCCGCTCCCCATAATGGAAGCGCAGATCGACCGAACGACGCCGGGACGCGGCCGACGAGCTCGATTCACGCAGGGCTGCCGCGCGGCCCCGGACCTAGCTTTTCGCCGCTGTGCTCGTCGACACCTTCAGGTCTTGGTTCGGCCCACATCCGCAGCTCCTCTTTGAGAGATGAACCGTTTCCCCGCCTGAAAGCACGGCTGGCATCGACGATGGCCGATGCGCCGACCGAGAGCGAGGCGGCCATCCCGCGCAACGCGGTGGGCGTTCAGCTGCTGCCCGTCAAGCTGCACGCGCAGCTGTTCCCAAAGACGTCGGACCCCGTTCCGCCCGTCGACAAGCTCGCGCTCAGTATCAGCAAGGACCACCTCAGTCAGCACGGTCTCAAGGCCAGCCAAGCCGCGACATTACCGCAGACGTCGTTTGACCTGCCCGCTCTCCAGGGGCGGGACCTCGCTGAGCACTTCTGGACCATCGGCCGGGAAGTGGCTCAGCCCTGGCTCGGAATGGCGCACGAGCTCGCCTCTTTCCAGCTCGTCGAGCCCCCGGAAGAGATCGACGATGAAACGGCGCGCAACATCGACGACTTCCGCTTCGACCCGGCAGAGTGGATCAACCTCGACCCGTCTCTCCGCACGCCGGATCACCTCAAGCCCATCAGGTGGTCGCAGGCACCGGGATGGACGCGCTACCCAATCCTCCGCTCCGAAGACGGCACCGAATCGGTGCTGGGCGCCGGCGAGAGCGTACCCTACCCGGACCAGGAGGACGACGCGCTCGTCTTTGACGTAGAGACCATGGTCAGCGAAGGGCCCTACCCCGTCATGGCCACCGCCGCCGGAAAGCGGGCCTGGTACAGCTGGCTCAGCCCGTGGCTCGTCGGGGAAGGCCCGGGGAAGGATAGCAAACACCATCTCATCCCTCTGGGCCCCAGCGGGCCCGATTCGCACCCGCGCCTGGTCGTCGGCCACAACGTCTCTTACGATCGCGCCAGGACGCTCGAAGAGTACTCGCTCGACCTCGGCTCGACGCGGTGGCTGGACACCATGAGCCTCCACGTCGCCACTCGCGGCATCTCGTCACCGCAGCGGCCGGCCTGGATGCAGCACAACAAGGCCAAGGCCGAGAAGCGAGCCAAGAAGCTGCTCCAGCAGAGCCAGCTGCGCGAAGAGACGCGCAGGGCCATCGAGAACGCCCTCTCCGGCATCGACTACGATGCAGAGGAGCTCGAGGGCCTCAAGCTCGAGGCGCTGGACCAGGACAAGGAGGGCGATGTAGGTTCGGGCGCCTCTGCCGAGGGGCAGGGTGACGCGGAAGGGCCAACCGAGGGTGAAGCGTCCCCCTTCGACCTCGATCTCGACGGCAGCGACGACGCCGCCGCAGCCAACGCCGCGTCCAAATCGACTTCTGCGTGGCTCGAGGAGACGTCGAAGAACTCGCTCGCCGACGTGGCCCGGCTGCACAAGGTCCAGCTCAAGGTGTCCAAGACGGCCCGCGACGCATTCGTGGACGGCACGCCGCGAGAGGAAATCCTCGCCAAGGTGCAGCACCTGCTATCCTACTGCGCCTCGGACGTCCTGGCCACGCACCAGATCTTCTGCAAGGTCTGGACCGACTTTGCCGAAAGGTGCCCGCATCCCGCCACCGTGGCCGGCGTCTTGCACCTCGGCAGCACCCTCCTCCCGGTCGACGACGAGTGGCTCGACTACAAGGCTCGATGCGAGCGACAGTTCAACGAGGTCAACAGCGCCGTCACAGAGTGCCTGCTGCAGCTCGCGGAAAAGCTCAAGGAGGAGGGGACTGCCGGCGTGTCGTGGTTGACTGCCGAGGCCATCGCCGCCGAAAAGCAGCCGTCAGCGGATGGGAAGCCAGGCTCTGGAGCAACGTCGCAGACAGCCCTCGACCGCCCGAGAGTGTGGTGGGAAGACGACCCGTGGTACTCGCAGCTGGACTGGACCCCAAAGAAGCCGAAAAAGGCCCGTCGCGCGCAGCCTGCGCAGGACGGTGAGGAGGTCGTCGCGGTGGCCAGCGCCTTCGAGGTGCCGGCATGGTACCGCGACGCCGTCGTGCGGAACAAGACCAAGAGCGGATTCGGGCCGAAGACGCTCGCGGCGCAGCAGCTGCTGCGCCTCCATCTGGATGGGGCGCCCCTGATCCGCGAGGGCAAAAGCTGGACGACGGTACCCGTCGCCGGCAAGGGCGCCATCGAAATCACGGGCAACATTCTCGGCGCACCCTCGCTGAAGAAGCACGGCGCGGTCCTCGAGAGCCGGGCAGGTTCAGCCGGCGAGCGCGTGCTGGCGGCCATCAAGGGCGAGCTGGATCTCGACGACGACGAGGTCGCCGCCCTGCTGCGGGAGGTCGCCGAAGCGGCAAAGGCGCTGGACCTTCAGACCGCCGCCAAGGATGTGCAGCTGTCGCAGCTCGACTGGAGCCCCAAGGAGCTTCGACGCGACGAGTTGATGGCCACGACCGCTGCTGCCGCCGCTGCGTCACTGAGCCCATCGCCGGACGGTTCCGGTGCCGACGTCGTCGTCGCGGCGGAGCCAGAGTGGTGGCCCAAGTGGTTTTGGGACCTGGTCAAGAGCTCGACGGGCGAATTGGCGGTGACGATCCGCTCGGCCGTCGCGCCGCTGCTGCTCAAGGTCTCGTGGCGAGGCTGCCCCCTGTTTCGCAGCCGTGAGCACGGCTGGACCTATCGCCTCAACGCGGACGAGATGCGCGGCTTCGTCACGCGCCAGAAGCCGTTGGCATTCAAGCTGATCGCCGACGAGCATCTGCAGGCGCAGATCGATGCCAACTCCCCGAGCCAGCCGTGGCCCAAGGGCCGGGGCGCACCCAAGACCCCCCCGTCGCTCGATTCGGGCATCCACTTCTTCAAGGTCCCGCACAGCGAGGGCGAGAGCGCCAACGTGGGCAGCCCCTTTGCGAAGAACTTCATCCCCTACTTTGAGGACGGCACGCTGCAGAGCCAGCACCCGGACGAGATCGGGCAGCGGGCGGCCAGGACGGCGCTGGATCTCAACGCGCAGTGCAGCTACTGGATCGCGGTGCGGGACCGCGTCGACAAGCAGATGGTAGTGTGGGACGGCGAGGCGGGCACGCGGATGGGCTACGGGCCGGGCGTCAGCGGGGCACGCAGCGAGAGGCCGGGCGAGGCGGAGCGTGCCAAGGGCCTGATCCTGCCGCAGGTCGTCAGCATGGGCACCGTTACGCGCCGCGCCACTGAAAACACCTGGCTGACCGCCTCCAACGCCAAGAAGAACCGGCTCGGCTCGGAGCTCAAGGCGATGGTCAAGGCGCCGCCCGGGTACAGCCTGGTCGGTGCCGACGTCGACAGCGAGGAGCTGTGGATCTGCAGCGTCATGGGCGACGCCCAGTTCGGCATCCACGGCGCCACAGCCATCGGCTGGATGACGCTCGAGGGCACCAAGGCCCACGGCACCGACCTGCACAGCAAGACGGCGAGCATCCTGGGCATCAGCCGCAACCAGGCCAAGGTGTTCAACTACAGTCGCATCTACGGAGCCGGCATCAAGCACGCCACGCAGCTGTTGCTCAAGGCCAACCCGTCGATGGTCACCGACGAGGCGACCAAGCTGGCCAAGGAGCTCTACGCGGCGACCAAGGGCCAAAACACGCACACCGACGAGCTCTTCGACCGCAAGTTCTGGTTCGGCGGCACCGAGAGCTACGTCTTCAACAAACTCGAGAGCATCGCGCTGAGCGATCGGCCGCAGACGCCGGCGCTCGACTGCGGCGTCACCAACGCCCTCACCAAAAAGTACCTCGGCAAGGTCGACTTTGGCAACGGGCGGCTGTCGGAGGAGTACATGCCGAGCCGCATCAACTGGGTCGTCCAGTCGAGCGGCGTCGACTACCTCCACCTCCTCATCACGTCGATGGAGTGGCTCTGCCGCCGCTACAGCATCGATGCGAGGTTCATGCTCAGCGTTCACGATGAGGTGCGCTACCTCGCCCGCGACCACGATCGCTACCGGGCCGCCATGGCGCTGCAGATCGCCAACCTCTGGACGCGCTCGATGTTTGCCTTTAAGCTGCAGATGGACGACCTGCCGCTGGGCTGCGCCTTTTTCACCGCCGTCGACGTCGACAAAGTGCTGAGGAAGGAGGCCGACGACCCCTGCGTCACGCCCAGCCATCCCGAACCGCTGCCGAGCGGCGAGGCGCTCGAGATCCAGCAAATCCTCGATGCCACCAACAACGGATCGCTCTACCTGGACGGCCGCACCATGGACAACCGCGTACCCGCCGTCGCATCCGTCGCCCTGGATGCCGTCGAGGGTCGTTCGCAGTTCCTGCAGCCCGACTTTCCGGCCTACGTCCCCTCGACGCAGATGCACCGGTCGACGGGTCAGCGCGGTCTCAACTATCTCCAGGCGCAGGCCTCCAAGGAGATTGCCGAGATCCGCGCGCTGGAGCAGAGGGCCAAGGTCTCGTCGTCCGCGGCGGCACCGGGGCCGAGCAAGCCGAGAGCAACCCGCCGCACGACGGCCGCCAAGGGCACTTCGCGGCTGAGCGAGGACGATTGGGTGCAGAGCTGCGCCGATGAGGCCTCCGCGACTGCCGCTCGGCCGAGTAAGCCCCGCGCGAAACGGGCATCTGCAACGGCGTCAACCGCCAAGTCGAGCGGTAAGGCGGCCGCCGCGGTCGGTAACGGCCAGCGCCGGGGCTTCAGCACGCGGAGCGCTGGCCCTGGGTCGCCGAGCACCCTTGATCTGGACTCGCTCTTCCCGAATCGGCCCTCTCGCCCCAAGCTGCCATTCTATCGGACCTTCGAGCACCGTAGGCGGATCCTCTACGGCCTCTACCGGCCGCTTCTGCGCAGCTGTCCCAAGGGTCTCGACGCTCTGCGCGGCTGGGTTCGCTACAGCGTGCGGAAGAGAAAGTCGCTGACCTCGGCGCGCCTGGTCGATGAGCTCTTCGAGGAAGGGTGCCAGCTCGTCGAGACATTTCGGCAGGCGGGCCGAGGCGACGCCAAGGCCATGCGCGCGCTCAAGCAGAAGGATCTGCGCATCCGGCGGCGGCTGCATCGTCTTAGCTGGCGGAGCTTTTGGGCCAAGAAGCTGCACGAGCTCAGGTACCCTCGGCGGATCCCGCACCACTCGGGTGCGCTGCTGCCGCCGACGATCTCTAACCGACCGCTGCCGAGGTACAAGCCGGTGCAGCCCGTGGCGATCAGCATGATGATCTTCAAGCGCCGCCTGGCACGGCTGCGGCGCGCGGAAAAGCTGGCCGAGGTCGACGAGCTGCAGGCCGCACAGCACGGCGACGCTGCGATGCTCCGCGACGTCCTCGACAGCGAGCAGCTCTCGTCGTGGACCGGCTTTCGTGAGTGGCGTCGGCACCTCGTGGCCCCTCCCCGCGCGGCCCTTGAGGGCTCTGGCATGCTAACCTCCGGCGCTTCCATCCCTCTGTCCAAGCACGCCCTCGTCAGACGAGACGCTGTCGGAGCAGCGCGAGGAGCTGCGCAGATCGTTTGCGCTCGACCACGCGCGAGCGCAGATGGTGTTTGACCGCAAGACGCTCGTGATGGCGAAACGGGCGCGTATCGCCAAAAAGAGGTGAGTAGTGTTGCCCGTGGCCGCATACGACGCGGGTTCGCCAACGGTTGCTGATGCCGCGTGCCGCTGTCCTGGATCGCGCGCAGAGCACACCTTCGAGCCAAGCACCAAGCTGTCCAGCGCAAGCGTGCGAGCGAGGAGAGCCAACTGCCGACGAGCAAGAAGCGCCAGCTCCGACCGCGCCCCACACTCACTTCTTTGTCGTCGTGGGAGCGGCTGGCCGAGCTGTAGCGGGATGGGGTGCCGTCGAGGCAAGAACGACGCCGCCACCGTGGGGCGCGGCGGCGGATGATGTCAGGAACGAGCAAATCTATAATTAGAAGCAGTTCCGTTGCCACGGAGGGTGTCGCCGTTGATGCCGACTACTGGTCATCCATGCGAGATCCGCCCGCGAAGCTGCAGCGCAGCGCAGCGTTTCTGAGCGCAGCGGCACGCAAGAAGAATCCGGCGAGGAGAGGCCGAACGGACCGAACCCGAACGCAAAGAGATGGGGTGGCAGTGCTCGCTTCGACCCGGCTGGATAGGGCCGGGCTCGGCCGCTTGTTCTCGACTGCGTACGGCAGTACCGCCCGCACAGAGGGATCCGACGCACGGCGGTTTGTTTCGAGAAACTTCTTAGAGATCTTGCGAGGTGCAAGCGCAGCACGGCCTTGCCTACTGGCTGGGCTTGAAAGGCAGCAGGCAGCCATGGTCGGGTTGCCGGCGCGGTACTGTAGCCGTCCGTTCAAGCGGCGGCGGTTGCACCGACGACGTAGGCATAGGCGGTGAAGCGAGCGAGGCGGAGGCGAAGCGAGGATGGGAGATGTGCGAGGCGCATAAGGTGCCTTGGCGGCCGCAGCACCGACCGTTCCTTCGTTCGTACCGTGCGCCGCCCCGCTCCGTCCGCCCGCCTGCCTACAGTAGCTGTTCGTCGTTCGGCGTGTTTGATCGACGTAGGGCGCCCATCTCAGACACAGCCTTGGCCGGTCCCAGCGGCGTGCGTACGCATGAGGGAGGCGTCGCTCAAGATGAGAGGCAGAGCACGAAGTAGTCGCACGACGGAGGGTCGCCCTTTCTTGAGCAGCCAGGGGGCCCTCACTCGACGCCGATCAGGACGCCTCGAGACTGCAGCGGTTTGATCGTCACCTCTCCGCCCTCGCCGCCGCCGCCACCATCCCCGCCACCATGCATCGCTTCCGCTCCCACCGGGCCGAATCGCGATGCGATGCCGGTACGGTGCGGTGGCGATGGCGATGGGCTCGCGGTGCAACGCAAAGGCAGGCCCACCCGGCCGGCGTTTGAAGTCGCAGCGGTCCAGCCTTCTTTCTCGGATGAGATGGCGTCATTTTGCAGGGTCGAGCTTTGGCCTGGCCTGGCCCGTGGATTCCGTTTTCAGCAGCGGCGGCACCGACGCTGGTTGACGTGCCTGCCTGCCTGCCTGCCTGCCTGTCCCGGCCTGCTCTTTCTTTTCCTGCCTGGCTTTGCGCTCCACGTCTCGCCTGGCCTGGCCCGCCCCATTCCACACCCGCTGCACGAGGCTCCCTTTGCCTCCGCCCTTTGGCTTGGCCTGGCCTGGCCTGCGTGCCCTTGCCCGAACCGGCGTCCCTCCGCGTCCAGCCCCCGCCTCGACGACGCACGACTCCGATCCGCCCCCCTCAGCAGCGTCACCTTGCCTGGCTGGCTGGCTGGCTGGCTGGCTGGCCCAGCCCTCTCTCGAACGAGGGGATTGGCGGGGCCTCCCTGTCTGTGCCGCCATCGGGACTGGCTGCCTGCCACAGAGGAGCGAGGCCAAACCCGAGCTCGTATAAGTACTCGCTCCCAGCGCCGCCTCGCCTCGCCCCTCTGCGCCATCCCCATCCTCACAAGACATCACCTGCCTCTGCCCCTGCTCTAGCCGCTGCATCCACGTATCGCGCCTAGGCATCTTCTAGCCGTCGACCACCACCACCATACCCGCCGGCTCATACCCGAACGACGATACCGGCTTTTCCCCTCCCTCTTATTCCCTCTAATCGATCCAACCCCCTCCACAATGGCTGACCTCCAGCGAAGCGGATCGGTGCTCGTCACCGAGATCAAGGCCGACCACGCCGCCCAGCCCTCGAACGGCTCTGCCATCAACGGACATGCCGTGCCCGGAACCGCGACCGATGGCGGTGCTGCCCCCGCCGCGCCCCTCGACCCGAGCCTGACCAGCCCGCCCGCTCACTCGGCGCAGGCGTCTCAGGCCAGCGCCATGCCCTCGGTCCTGCCGCAGGCTGTTCCCGGCCACGTTGCCGACGCCTCGCAGGCCTCGGCCACCGGCAGCGTCGCGCCGCAGCCCCAGGTGCAGCCCATCCAG